GGATTATTGTCCAAAGCCTGAGCCAGGCAGATCCCACCACATCCTGTAGCCAGGCATATGCCAGACCAGCAAAACCAGAAAAGGAAGCAGGCTAGAGCTTTACTGATATGAAATAAAGGAATAAGCTCTGAAATGAACTCTTTCAAACTCTTATCCTGCTCCAGTCAAAATCTCTACATCTCCCAGCCAAGTTAATTGGGCACACAGCCTCCCCTGCCTGCCAACGACCTTCAGTGCCCATCATGCAAATACAAAACAGACACTCCCACTGGCCACTGCTCTGCACAGGCCACTAGCTCGCCTGTTCATCTGGGGAAATGACATTTCTCAATCAGGGAACTTAGGGAAGAAGAATCAACAGGTTTGGATGCAGCCATATGCCAGGTAACATGCTAGGCCCTTACTAATATTTTCTTACTGGCTTCTCATGAACATCATGCCAAGTTGATACAAAAGCCCCACTGTGCAAAGAAAGAAACTAAGTACCCAAGAGTTTAATAAATTCTCCCATGGTCCTAGCTCCCCTCTCATTTATAGGTTTAAAAGCTTTGCTCGTTTGTGACATCCACAGGATGTGATGATGTGGCCCTGCCTATGTGCATACCCCACACCACTGGGATTAAACCTAAGGCCACCTCACACCAAATCCATGCTCCAGTGTTTTCCAAATAAATAAGTGAATAAATATATTTCTACCACACCATGCTACCTTTTAATGATAAGATAAACAGAGAGGAAAAGGCCAGGTATAGTGGCTTACACCTGTAATCCCAGCACTCTGGGAGGCCACGGCAGGAGGATATCTTGAGGCTAGGAGTTTGAGACCAGCCTGAGCAACATAGAGAGATCCTGTCTGTACGAAAGAAAATTCTTAAAAATTAGCAGGCACAGTGGCACACAACTGTGGTCCTAGTTACTCTGGAGGTTGAGGTGGGAGGATCCCTAGAGCCCAGAAGTTCAAGGCTGCAGTGAGCTATGATCCCACCACTGCACTCCAACCTGGGTGAAAGAGTAAGACCCTCTCAGGAAGAAAGGAAGAAGGGATGGGAAGGGGAGGGAAAGGGAGGGGACAGAGAAGAAGAAGGATTTGTGTTAGAATGAGAAAGAGAATAAAAGCAATTGGAATAAGTGAACCAAGTTCGCAAACATCCAAAGTATTCCTAATATCAGTTGCCTGTATCCAGACTATCCTGGGGGAATTACCTGAGGAAAGCAACCACACCATTTTAAATGTGTCCGGGGCACTGACACCTCATGGAAAATATGGCTCCAGGGAGACTTTACATTGTGACCTGATGAGGGAGTGTGGAGAAGAACACAGAAGCCACCACCCTCCCAGGTCACTGAGCAGCCCTGCCTGACAGCACTTTCACTGTGGGAGGCACTCCCCTGCTCCAACAAGGAGCAGCCTGTGTCAAGGTTGAGCCCTGCTGCACAGCACCACTGATGGCTGTGACTTGAATCCTACACAAAGGCCAATCTCCAGTCCCCAGACACACAGTCACAGCCTCAGGAAGCTCAGCGCCCACATGAGTGTAAGTGACATGTACAGGTGACTCATTGGCTCTTTGGAGCTCAGCATTGAACTGGCTATTATGGAGTGCCTACAAAGAGTGGAGCCAGCATGGGCAGATTGATGCTTGACTATCATTTTAGCACAGGTTGACATTTCGTATGAGACTCAATGCCAGTTTTATCCCCTTCCTCTCCAGCCTAACCACTGCCATTATCCTAAGGGACATGCATAGAATAGACCTAGCCAATGGCTGTCAGTGTGCTAGGGGCAGCAATTGGGAGTGGAAGACAGCACCTGGCTTCACATCCCAGCTGTTGACAATGACTAATCACGGTGCCCTGAGCAAGCTGCCTCTTCACTGTATGCCTCAGTGTCCCATCTTTAAAATAGGGATTGTTATAAGATTTAAGGAGAAAATCCATCTAAAGCACTTAGTGTTACACTTAGCTCCACGTTCATAGTCATTTTCACTTCTACTCTGCTGTCAACTGCCAACATCCTGGGCCTCAAGGTCACCCAGAAGTTTCTGGCTCTAAAATCTTAAAATCTAATGTCTGACTCCAGCGTACTTCCTCTCAGCTCCCTTAATCATAAGGCATCCTTTGTCTGACTTTATCATAATGTCCAGTCCCCCAAGTTGTTCTCTAAACACATCAGCTCCCAGCCTCATCCTCCCTTCATGCTGCCGCTATCATCTGCCACTCAGTCATTCTCTGAGCTCTTGCTCTGTAGCTCCTTGGCTGTAATTCCCAAGAGCACCCAACCATCTGCCCCAGTTGCGGCACCACTGGCCCCTCATTATGCTGGAGAAAATGACCCAGCCATGCACTCTCCTGGGTCCCATCCCAGCTGTGACGTTAGCACACCTTGGTCTCCAAGCAGATCCCCTCCATTGTTCTAAGTAGACTTGCTCCAGCCACTGTCCTCAAGCCTCCAGCCCCAGCTCCATGTCCAGCTCACGGCCTCACTTTCTACCCCAAAGTGATCAGTAGAAGGGCTGGGTATAAACTTCTCCAACATTTTGCATCACTGCCCACGCACTGAGGAGCCTCCACATCTCTTCTTACCACATCCTCCTCCTCATTGGAAGGTGTGTCTGCGGCCACCTTGCTCTCTGCCTGGGCATCACTCCAGGACTTTTGCTTATCAACTGTCACTTCTGCATTCTATACAGCCTGGCTTCCCTCCACAGGAAAAATGTTTTCCTTCAGCATATCAATGAGGCCAGGCACGGTGGCTCACACCTATAATCCCAGCACTTTGGGAGGCCAAGGTGGGTGGATCACTTGAGGTCAGGCATTCGAGACTAGCCTGACGAACATAGTGAAACCTCATTTCTACTAAAAACACAAAAATTAGCTGGGTGTGGTGGTGCAAGCCTGTAATCCCAGCTACTTGGGAGGCTGAGGCAGGAGAATCACTTGAACTCAGGTGGGGGAGGCTGCAGTGAGCCAAGCTCGCACCACTGCATGCCAACTTGGGTGACAGAGGGAGACTCTGTCTCAAAAGAAAAAAAAATCTTTTTAAACATAAAAAATAAAAACTAAAAATAAAATAAAAATATTAAAAAATATATAAATATATAAAAAATAAGAAAATAAAATTTTAAAAACATGTTCAGCGCTCCCACAGCTCAAAAATAAAAGAAAAAATCCCTCTTGGTCCTCTCTCTCCCTCCAGCCCCATCACGCAGACAAGCCTTCATATAGTTGTCTACACTTTTCTCTCTGCTCCCTCATCCTCTACTGGCCCTGCAGTCTGTCTTTCCATGAAATTTCTCTAAGAAGGTCAGTAACAAATGTGGAGTTGTTCTTGTTTCCCTCCTCTTCCTCATTTCTGTCCAATCATTCAAAGTTCCATCAATTCTGACTTTACCTGCTTAATAGCTTTTAAATCCTTTCCATCTCTCCATGCATCAGTGATGTGTTCTGGCCTTCCCAGCTCATCCAAAGATGTCTACTTAATACCCCCCAACCGGCCCCCAATTCCATGCCAAAGAAAGAAAATAAAGATGTGATTCTCCTTGCTCAGCATTCTAAAATAGTCCCCGCTGCATTGCAGGACAAAAATCTACTCTCCTCTGTGTGGCAGCCAAGGAAGACCCTTGTTGGCCTAGAGGTAGCGAACATGTCACCAGAAGGAATAACTGAGGTGTGATAACTAAGAATCTAACTGGACATAACTTCTCCTTGGCCACAGGCATATTCCCCTTTCATAAAATTCTTTTAGTAGGAGATAAAAAGTTTTCTGGAAATTTCAGAGAAAAATTATCAAATATGGCCCAAACTGAAATTTTATGGCATAATATAAATATCCTTTTTCAGGAATTATTTTTAGGTAGTTATTTCTCGAGATGGTTCTTCCTACCACAGAGGGTGCCACCCACCCCAGAAGATGCTATAAGAGGCAATTTTCATATGATCTGGATATTACCTCATGGGGTATTTGCAAGTTCAGGATCAAAGTGTCCTTCCTTCCTTCTGCCCACAGCATAACCAACAATTTTTCCAATCCTCAACTCTCAAATTCCAGCATTCTGATTCAGAAATACAGAATAGTCACTATTATCCTTCTTTCCAGATGAGAGCCTTGAAATTCAAAAAAAAGATTTTCCTTAGGTTTCATGTACGATGCCCATAGTAGAGTTGGGACCAAAAGCTGGTTCTTGGCCACTGTGGGGTGGGGTGTCTACCCCCAGGAGCCTGAGGTCCACAAGGTCCCATACGAGAAACCCCTTAGGATCGGGGACCCCATGTGTGTTAGCACAGAGGTTATGAAACCACACAGTTAAAAGATGAGGAGGATGGGACGGAAGAGGAGACAACATAAGAGGATTCAAAAAAAGGAGCAGGGAAGAGATGCACCCAGCCTCAGGAAACCCGGGAAAGAGAGGAGGCAGAACATGCTGGACTCTCAACAGAGCCCTATGCTCTCTGCTCTGACAGGGGGAAGCATTGTGTGACCTCTGAGTCAGAAATCATTTCACCAGTGCATTCGGTCCTCGCCCTGCAGTACCAAGCGCAGGGCAGTCAGATAACCACTCTTTCATTTTTGTTTCCTTCCCATCCACATTCTACTGAGACAGTTAACCATTCTAAACCACTTCAGACCTCTGGTGGCCAGGCCAGCTCCATGCTGAATGGCCCTGCCATTCAAGACAAATGTACAATACCACTGACACTGCTACACAGCCTCCCATGCAGCAATAATTCACCTCCCTTGCTAGTGTGCACATACACACACACACACACACACACACACAAACACACGTTCTTACAACATGTTTTCTGTAACAAGTATCTCAGATTCAATTAATGACCAGATTCTCCACCCAGTTGCTCAGCTTTAAAGTGAAGGATCAGCTTCAGTTCTCCTCTCCAGGCATCTCACAGCGTCAAAGTCTATCTAATCCCCTTGATATGTCTCCCTTTCCCCAATTCCCACACTCCCTGCCTTGGCCTAGAGCCTCCTCCTCCTCCCTCACCTGGATTGTGTCTTCCTGATCCTCTTATCCCTTCCACACAACCACCAGGGAAGCATTTCTGAAAGAAAATGTGACCACAACTCCTCTGCTTAACTTCCTTCAACTCCATTGCCCAAAATAATAAATCCCAAGCTCATCATCAGCCACATCAATGAAGTCCAACTCTTTAGCTTGCTCATCATTGAAGGGTAACCATTCATTAAATCATCTACTCAACTAATATGTACACAGCCTCTACTCCATGCCAGCACCATTCTAGGCACTTGGATAAATCAGAGGCAATGATCCTTGCCTTCATGGAGCTTACATTCCAAATGAGAAAGAAAGCCATAATTCATAACCCTATAAGGATATGAATTACAAAGTATGTTAGAAGATGGGAAATGCTGCTTTCCGGCGGTGACGACCTACACACGAGAACATGCCTCTCGCAAAGGATCTCCTTCATCCCTCTCCAGAAGAGAAGAGGAAACACAAGAAGAAATGCCTGGTGCAGAGCCCCAATTCCTACTTCATGGATGTGAAATGCCCAGGATGCTATAAAATCACCACGGTCTTCAGCCATGCACAAACGGTAGTTTTGTGTGTTGGCTGCTCCACTGTCCTCTGCCAGCCTACAGGAGGAAAAGCAAGGCTTACAGAAGGATGTTCTTTCAGGAGGAAGCAGCACTAAAAGCACTCTGAATCAAGATGAGTGGGAAACCATCTCAATAAACACATTTTGGATAAAAAAAAAAAAAAAAGAAGAAGAAGATGGGAAATGCTATGGAGAAAGGAAAAAGGAAAAAGTAGGACAGGGGAAAAGGATCTAGAGTTCTGGGGATGGGCTGGGAAGGTTGCAAAACTAGGTGGTCTGAATCAGCCTAACAGAAAATAACATTGGAGTAGACTTGGAATAAGTGGGATCGTTAGTGTCAAGGCTCTCTAAACAAAGAAAGCGGGAAAAGCTGATGCAAAAGCCCTGGGGTAAGAGTTCACCCGGGATATTGGGGGAACAACATAGAAACCAGCGTGGCCAAAGTGAATAAGAAGGAGAGGAGAAGGAGACACCATGAGAGGAAAAGGAGGCACGTCATGGTCCTCTGTCATTCCCCGCCCCTGACCTTCGTGTGTCTTTTCTGTAACACTTGTCAACGCTGCAGCTCCCCAAAGATTGGCTTTCCTCATGCCTTGGAGCCTGTGCCTGTGTCCTGATGCCACGGCTATCTGACCACAACTTGCTACCCCAGCCCAGAGCTCTGACCATCGCACTCCCTATGCTCCCATATTCCCTGACCATAATGTTATTATATACTAAACACACTAAATGCAATTACTGTACTCCCTGGCTATATTGCCTACTGGACAGAGCTCCTGAAGGAAAGAAGTTTCATCATCTCATGACTCTCTTTTTTTCCTAGGAAGCACCACCTGGCTGGCTAAAGAACGGGTAGATGGAAAGAGAATAGGCATTAGGAGGTTAGGGAGAGGTTAAATTCAAAAATGCTGCTTTGTCTGAAAATTGAGATTACCTTGGCCAAAGAGACACTGAACCTCTTTGGATCTCAGTTTCCCTATATGTAAAACAAATATAGCAATCCTGGCTTTACTTGCATTCCAGAGTGATTCTGTGCATTATAAAAGAGAATGGGGTTAGGCTTGGTGGCACCACATCTGTAATTCCAGCCCTTGGGGAGGGTGAGGCAGGAGGATCACTGGGGGTTAGGGGTTTGAGACCAACCTGAGCAACATAACAAGACCTCAAATCCATAAAAAGTAAAAAAATAAAAGAAATTACCCTGGCATGGTAGTTCATGCCTGTAGTCCCAGCTACCAGGAAGGCTGAAAGGTGGGAAGATCACTTGATCCCAGAGTTTGAAGCTACAGTGAGGCATGATCACACCACTGCACGCCCACGTGGGGAATAAGTCAAGACCCTGTCTCTAAAAAGAGAGAGAAAGAGAATGGATATGCATACCTTATGGATTAGGGGGGTCCAAGTGTGGAGGATCATCATTATTGTTCTCATTGCTATTAATTACAGAATCTTGTATGCCTGTTTATAAAAATTATAAAATCCCGGATGCCTCTGGTTCCAATTATAGCCCAGTGATATGTCCTTGGCTCCAGCAAAGGCAGTGCTGGGGTAAAGTTTATCTTGTGTCACATGCAATTTGTTCTCAAAACGGAGCAAGGAGAGCCTGACTCTCCACGGAAAAGAGCCCCTGGGTGATAAATTAGGAGGATCCTTCAACGCATCCCATCCGTTTTCTGTGCAGGCATAGCTGGCAGGCACCAGCTGTCTAAGCCACACCTGCCATGGGAACGCCAACCACCCCTCCTTCCCCAGCCAATCCCCACCCCCACAAATTGTCAAAAAGGCATCATGACAGATAGAGCTCCCACATGCCACAAGGTAAGTGTTTAAATCTTTTATAAGACAGTCAATGGCCTTTGTAAACCCTCAGACGAGAATTACACTGTGTCTGAGATGGAGCTGAAAGTCAATGGGAAATTGATTCTGTCTAGCTGGTGCTGTTTCAAAAAGGAGGCTTGCTGGGTGCCTTCGGGACCAAATGTGCCATCTACAATCTGCCCTCAGGGCCCGGTGTGTCACATGCTGAGAATGCTGTGATGCCAAGGCCCATTTCTGGGCAGAGGAATGCCAACTAGGCAGCTGCAGGCTCCCACCACAGGAAGGCCCTGGAGAGCACTGATGAGCACCGGGGATGGTTATAAAGTGTGTTTACCTTCCCAGAAATTGATGCCAGTACCAATCTGATGCCATTGCCTGGGCCCTAGGCAGGGAAGCCAGAGGATGATAAACAGCCATTGATCTGGCAGTCACCATCAGGCAGGCATACCTAAAATTATTCTCCTTTGCTAATGACCCTATTAGCTATTGGATCAAACACAGTTAGAGGGTGTGATGACGCTGTGGTTATTTCTTTGCCAATACCCATCGGCCTGATCCATACCATCTGCCAGGGGATACCAAATCTGGCAGCAAAGTCCCTCCATTTGGGATGAGGGAAGCCCAAGGGTCATAGCCTAGTCACAACAAGGATGGCTCTGGGGCCAAGGCGAGTGCATGGACTTTGACAGGTAAATCAAGCCCGTGTATGGTGGCTCACACCTATAATCCCAGCACTTTGGAAGGCTGAGACCGATGGGTCACTTGGGGTCAGGAGTTTGAGACCAGCCCGACCAACACAGTGAAACACCATCTCTACAAAAAATGTAAAAATTAGCCTAGTGTGGTGGTGGGTTCCTGTAATCCCAGCTGTTGGCAGGCTGAGACAAGAGAATCATTTGACCCCGGGAAGCAGAGGTTGCAGTGAGCTGAGATTGCACCACTGCACTCCAGCAAGATTGATTCACATCCATCTTGAGTGAATGAATGAATGAATGACAGGTAAATCAAACATCCCCAGTCCTGGGAGGTGGCAGGGTGGAGAAAGCACTCACTTTGGAGTCAGGCAGGCTTGGAGTGGAGTTCTGCTCACCATCCCATGCTAAAACCAGGATATGAGAAAGCAGATAGTGCTCTCTCATGAAAGCAGACAGCCTGAATCAAGCAATGAAAATGGTATCTCAGTCTTAAGTTCTGATCACGTGCTAGATTCTGAAGCCACCACTTGCCATCCATCACCTCGATCCTTCCCTACTATCTTTAGACATACAAGGTATTATCCCCATTTTCTAGGTAAGGACGCTGGAGCCCAAAGGATTTCAAGAGATCGATTCTTCCAACAAGAGCAAACAATGAGCTTATGTTTATTGCAGGCCTGCTATGTGCTGGGCACCCTTTGAGGGACCCAGCTATGAGCCATGCAAGACAGACACAGCTCCAAGGTCAGGCTTGTGGTAAAGCCCAGACTGGAGTCAAGGTCTCCTGAAGTCATGTGCTGTATCCTCTCCCCTGCAATTCCCCCAGCGGAAGGACTTCTCAGTCCTTTCCCAACTCAAGGTGCCCTTTGTAGTTCTCCAGACTCTTCTAGTTTTCAGATGAGGTCGAGGGAAGTTTTGAAACTTTCCCAAGGCCACATAGTGGGCAGGAAAAGGAGCCACAATCTTGAAATGAGATCAGTGGAATTTCAGGTCAAGTGTATTTCTTCATGGGCTGCTCGTTTCCTGGAATATTGTACTTTATCCCCCAACCCCAGGTCTAAAGGAAGCTAGCAGTGCACAATGTGCCATAGACAGTGGGAGGTAGGCAGAAGGTGAGGGTCTTTGTGCGCTGCTCGGAAATATTTTCATAGTCCACAAGGGGAGCCATCTCATCGGGTCAGCTAAAGGGATGGAATGGAGGAGCACCCCAGTATCCCATTTTTGGCTAAGTAACATCATTGGTACTACATGGTCAGGTGTCTTTGAACTTCGTTAAAGGAGCTTTATTTGAAAACCCTTCAGGATGCCAGAAAAACAGTCATTTCCCACAACAGCCATCTACCCAAGGCAGGCTTCTCAGAGAAAAACAAGTATCACCAGCTGTTATGAATGGGTGGGAGCAGGAGCAGTGTGGTGGTGGGTTTACTAAGGATGAGGTCAGGCAGGAAGGGACAGCAAAGGCGGACTTCCCTGTTGTCAGACAGAGACACAAATAAACACTTGCTGGCACCTGGAAATTCAGTTCTTAAACCCTGCAAAATGAGGAAAACCTAGTATGGTCAGAAAAGGCTTATTTTCTGATGGGATGAGACAACATACAGCTGGATTCAAAGCCAGAGCCACTCAGCTGTTCCACGAGTACACAGTGACAGGCTCGGAGCTCAACTTCGTCTTTCCTTTCTGGAAAATGGGCATAAAGCAAAGACCTACATGCTTAGGGATCTGATAGAGCTATTCATCTATTAGATAAGCATTCAGCACCAGCACTATGCCAGGCACTGGGAAATCAGTTCAGAATGGGACAGGCTTGTTCCCTGCTTTCATGAAATTTATCATTTAGCAAAGAAACCAAACATGGAAAAATGCAATTACAAGACGGCACCCTTGCTTTGATGACTCCTGGGACAAGATCATTTAGAGCAAACCAATGAAGATGTTTGAAGCCAATGATAAAGCCAGTGAAGATGTTTAGTTCTTTTGACTGCTGGAGGCAGTAAATTGGTGGATCAAGGTGACATTGTCCCCCACAGCCTACAATTGCAACAGTTCTTAGAGTCTCATATTCACAATTGCAGCCAAAGAAACCGGCTGTGTGGGTCGTCACTTCTTCCAAGGCTAGCCAACACACATGTCCCCAGGAGCCAGTGGTGACATAGCTTCCTTACCTATTTGGTAAAAATAAATTGTTCTTATTTATTAAAATATTTTTTAAAAAACCTTAAGACACTACACATAAAATGAAAAAGCCATTTTCACCTATTAAATTGCTTAAAATGTGATCTTCTGTTTGACTTTTGCTATTATGGCAACAGTATTAGCATTCCAAGTATATAGAAGAGATGAGTAGGTCGGCCAAAATGAAAAAAATCCACATGATAGTATGACTGTCTTCACTAAGCCTCAGTGTTTTTATTCTATGGGTCCCTTTTGTTAGAAATGAAGTGAGAGGCAAACAATATACCTGGAGTGTTAAGATTACATAATGTTAGTGCTACTAGGGACACGTAAAGCATCAGAGGCTGAGCACAGTGGTTCATGCCTGTAATCTCAGCACTTTGGAAGGCCGGGGCACATAGATCACCTCAGGTCAGGAGTTTGAGACCAGCCTGACCAAAATGGTGAAACTCCGTCTCTACTGAAAAATACAAAACCTTAGCTGGGCATGGTGGCGGGCACCTATAATCCCAGCTACTTGAGAGACTGAAGTAGGAGAAACACTTGAACCTGGGAGGCAGAGGTTGCAGTGAGCCAAGATCATGCCATTGTACTCCAACCTGGGCAACAAGAGCGAAACTCTGTCTCAAAAAAATAAAAAGGCAGCAGGGTCCAACAATTTCATTTGGAGCAGGAAAAAAGCAAGTCTAGGAGAGCTGACAAATCTTGTTCAATGTCACACAGCTGCTTTGTGGTCCAACTGGGACTTCACGTCAGAAACCTTGAACTACCAAGACTCAGAATTCCTCAGACAGAAATCAATTTCATAATAGAGTTGGTAGCCATTAGACAATAAGCTCATTGAGGGCAGGACTGTGCCTATGATCCTTGTATGTACCAGGTGGGCATTTCCTAAGCAAAGAAATGCATGATTTTCAGCATCATTTTAGTGGAATTCTATAGACATCTATAAAAGTATCTATTTTAAAACATTTTTATTTGCATTTTAAGTAAAGTTTCTGTATGGCCAAGCCCCAGACGGGTCCCATGCACGTGTTTTCTAAACAAAAGATGACTAGTGCTGTGATAATTAATCAGTTGGCATTGACAGAAACACTTAATGAGATGAAGCATGAACTGTTTGAAAAAGCAATTGAAAGTCATCATACATGCCATGAATCACCTCTTGAATGCACATTTATTAAATCAGAATTCATAACTTTGATATTTTATCTAACAGGTTTGTTACCCTTTTGAGGCTCTATTGGTGGATTAAAAAGACAGATGTTTCCAGAGCTAAATTGAAGAGGGGTGGAGGAGGAAGCAGCCAGACATCAATTAAATAGTGCAGGCAGCAAAATGCCATCACCCAATGTCTGGGTTTTTTGCTATTGTCTTGAGATAAAATTTAAAAAAAAAAAAAAACTTTGCAAGTGAATAGGCATTGAAGCAGGGTGCACTGCTGAAGGTTTTTGGGGTCTGCCTGACAACAGGTGGAAGGTGTGATGGTTTAGGAGGCAATGATTAATTTGGGGCTTGCAGACATGATTGTCATTAGGGGAAACTTCAGTCGAACAAAAGTCAGATTGATGCAAAACACTATTTTTACTTCCTCAGGGCGCCAGGGAGCTAGAGGGGAATCAGAATCCTCTCCTAGTTTCACGGTCTTCAAAGGCACCTGCTCCTTTTAGTTGAAGCAAATATATATCACATCAATGTCACATCCCAGAACTATTGTCCCAGGTACCTCTTTGGGTGATCAAATGAAAGTGGACTGAGAAGCGTGTGAAGATGTTTAGCTCTTTTGACTGCTGGCGGCAGTAAATTGGTGGATCAAGGTGACATTGTCCCCCACAGCTTACAATTGCAACACTTCTTAGAGTCTCATATTCATAAAAGCAGACCTGGAATCCTTACAGGCAGCCCTCTTGTGCTGAAAGTAAAGGAGACCTTCCCTTTTAACTGCTTTGACACAATGCGACCATTCTCCTCCAAAGCCTTTCAAACCCACCCTTTTACCAGCC